ACCCTGGTTAAGGTCTGGGACCTGCTCGACAACTGCAGCTCTGGGGGGCCACATGGCCCAGGCATCAGAAACACATTCCTAATAGGAGCAAGCAGAGGTTACTGTCCTAGACAGTTCCTAGTGACAAAAAAAAGAGACTCCCCGACTGGCAGGCCTAAGTGGCTACTAAGAACCGTGCATCGCACTATTCTTTTGTTCCCTTTTGTCAAGGAGACCTGCACTGTGGCTCCTTTGAATGGGGCCTCTGACAGCAGGTCCCGGGGGCCACACAGCACACGAGGCCCTGCCATGGGGCCAGAGGAGCCCAGCAGCTTTATGAACCTGTGGGTCTCATCCACTCCTACCCTAACGAGAGACTGCCGTCGAGGTGCCTTGGTCCCTTGGGTCTCGGGCACATAAATCACTTGAGGCAGCTGCTGGGCATCCTCCCCTCACATGGCAGCTTCTAGCGTGATGTTGGGCCTCACTGAAAACAGGCTGCCTGACACTGAGCCTGACAACCTGTGTGACTGTAAGGCCTCAGCGGCCCACCCCGATGTGAGCACCCACTAATCCCACTACTAAAACAGGGCAGGTTCAACAAAGCTGCTACATTAAGGAAAAGCAGTACAAGCAAGGTCAAGCCCACTCGGGCCCCAGGGGCCGGGCGACTCCATAACCGAGTAGCTGTTCTGACAGCAGAGGCTTCACTGCTGCAGGGGCCGCTCCTGTGTCTCCTTTTGCAAAGTGGGGCCACAGTTCAAGGATGTCCCAGCTGCAAAGCTCGAACCTGGCAAAGTCGTCTGGGCCACCGTAGCCGCCTTCTCCAAGGATGACCTTCTCCAAGGAGGACCACCTCTTAACTGAGACCAGATGAGGACATCCTCCCCAACGGGCCAAATTGTGTACCATGGATGATGATGGCTGCACAGCGCTCCCTGGGTAGGTCTGCGACTTATTTACAGATTCATGGGCCTTTACGAACCGCCTAGCTGTATGTGAGGGCTCCCCCTGCATAGGGACAGGGACCGTGCAACAGCTTGTGGACTGGGAAAAAAACCCAACCCAACCCTGGTCATCACTCATATTAATGCCTATAGTAAAAAACCATTAAAAAAAAGAACCATTAACAAAAACACAAATGGAACTTATGAGCCAACCCAACGTGTGCTTGGCAAACCACCATGATCACCCATCGGATCCACTGCACCAAATCACAGTGGCCAAAACCTGAAGGCTAAAGATAAGGCTAAAGATAACCAGATACAGTCGTGTGACTCCCACACTGAACGCACCCATGCAACATAGTGAACAGAGCCATGGCAAGCGGGCTTAGGCCTCACACGAATATGGCACACTGGCCACATTGGGCCACTAGTCCCCAGACCTGGATTCCAGCGGTGCTCATCGTGTGGTGCCATATAGGCACAGAGATCACTATTGTGGCTTAAAAAAATCCAACAAAATTCCCATCTAATCAAGACACTGAAGTCATAGCCCCCTACCCCAATACAGTGACAGACATGTTCCTGTGACATAAGCAGAGCTTTCATGTCCCCTATAACCCCCAGACAGACTGGGGGAAATGCCCCACAGTGAGCAGCTTACACAGCAACTGTACAAACGCCATTAAAAAAAGAACCCCAACTTACCAGATGGCATCTCTGCTTGAGAAAAGTCATTGAACAGGGGGCGCCTGGGTGGCTCAGTTGGTTCAGCGGCTGACTCTTGATTTCAGCTCAGGTCGTGATCTCAGGGTCTTGAGATCCAGCCTTGCATCGGGCTCCATGCTCACTGGGGAGTCTGCTTGTGATTCTGTCCCTCTCTCGCTCTCTCCCTCTTTCAACTAAATAAATCTTTAAAAAAAGAAAAAAGGAAAGTCACTGAACATTTGACAGCAGGCTCTGGCCCGTGGTGGCCGATACTTGGAGTGGAAGGCCAGGCAGCCACCTGAGGAGGCTGCCCCAGCAGAATCCCGGCCTCAGGATGCACAACAATTCTTCTCTCCCACTGGGACACAGCCCCGTGCTGTGACGTGTCGCCGGGGCCACAGTGGTGTCACCGTGGGGCCTCCCAGTCCAAACGTGGAGGCAACAGTACCCTCAGGTGCCTCACTCTGGGGGGGCACCAGGGAAATGGGGGAAGGGGCAAAAGAGCCTCAGGGCCCCGGGCTTCTCTGGGTCACTCTGGGACCTGAGACTCGAGCCGCTGACGTTAGAAGATCAAGTTCGTGCAGACTGTGGCTTCCCTCCCCAGGTTGGGTGATGGGGCCAGAAGATTTGGGTTAAGCAATGGGGCAGTGGGTCCCAAGGAGGCAGTAACAAGAGCATCTCGGGCCGCGGGAGGCTCACGGTGGGGGAGCGAGGTGGGAACTTGAACGTGTCTTCTTTTCCCTCCTACAGGAGCCTCTGCTGCGCCTGGCACGACGACACAACAGTCACACGAACCAGCCCAGCCGTGGGGAGAGGAGGCGAGCTCCAACAATGCCGGATTTGTCATCCCGGAATAAAGTTCCTTTTGTCTCACTTTCCCATTTTAATGGCTTGGCTGGTACACAACGACTTGGACTTCCCTCTAGACCAAAAGCAGCACGGAACTCCCTAGCCAAGCTAGTGATGGACACCCGAGGGGCCTTCATTACCTGCTGGCAGGACGGGGGGCTTGTGTGCCCTGCCGGCGCCTCTTGCTGCGGACGTATCCACAATGCAGGGGAAGGAGAAGCCTGTGCTCAGGTGGGATGGTTATCACACTCATTTTTTTAATCTCTTTGGTTGGCCTCGGCCAGGCTCTGGAGGTTTCCGGTTGAGGACCATCCCCCAGAGAGGCCTGATCGTCGTCTGGGGTCTGGTTCTCCTGGGGACTCTGGTAAATGTCTCAGAATGACGGAAGGTTCTGGGAATGCATTCGTGTGCATTGCTCAGGGGCTTGGGGACTCAGGGACCCAGCTCCACCTCCACCGTTGGGGCAAACGATGGTCCTCCCGGATGTGATGTGCCTTATCTGCTGTCAGTGGCTGAGCAGGCTTCGTGGGGTGGACTGCTGGGAAAGGCAGTCGTACAGCCTCTTGCCTCCTGCACAGGCTCATAAAATTAGCCTTGGGCCCGGCACACTCCCTAAACCAAGAGCTAGAGGCCGACAGCCTGTGCTGGGCTGCTTCTTCTTCTTCTTCTTCTTCTTCTTCTTCTTCTTTCTTCTTTTCTTCTTCTTTTTTCTTCTTTTCTTTCTTCTTTCTTCTTTCTTCTTCTTTTTAAAGATTTTATTTATTTATTCATGAGACACACACACACACACACAGAGGCAGAGACATAGGCAGAGACAGAAGCAGGCTCCATGCAGGGAGCCCGATGTGGGACTCGATCCTGGGACTCTAGGATTATGCCCTGAGCCAAAGGCAGATGCTCGTTCGCTGAGCCACCCGGGCGACCCCATGCTGGGCTGCTCATCACCTTGTGTGGGGATACCTGTCCCCACTTCACACCTGTGCTTTGTTCTGCTGAAGTGCCTGCGTCCGTAGCCCTCAGGCACAGCCCCAGCTTTCTGTCCACCGTGGCACAACGTGGGGTGCGTACAGCCACACCTCCCACTCCTCTGCAGAGTGGACCTGCTGGCCCTGGGGGCCCCGGGCATCGCCAGGGGCCGGATCCTGTGCACTTCCTCTCTGGCAGTAAGGAAACGCTGTACCGCGTGGGCCGGGGGTGCATGGTGTCTGGGCTCAGTGAGCTCCTCTCGTGTCCTGGTCTCTTCCCCGGATGCCACTCATCTGCCTTTTAACCTTGGCCACACGTAGCCTGACCACCCAGTGAACGGTGGAAGAGTCCCCATGTTTCACACCTTTTTGTTTTGCAGCAGCAGCAGTCATTGTGTTTAATTTCTGAGCTTTTCTGGGATTCTGTAGGGCACTGGCTGGTTCTCCAGCATTCACTCACCACCGTAGATCTCATCCATGTTGGTCTCACCATTCTTTGCTCTGCCATCTACCAGCACTATCTGCCATTTTCACATATTTGGAGTCAAGGATAAAGATATCTGGGGGGTTTTCTCCCCATTCAACCTGTCATTACTACAGTGTCTACTTAGCACCAGACACAGTATGTGGCACATAGTGGGCACATATACAGCTCGTCTACAAGTCAGAAGGATTTCTTAGAATCTGCAGCAGTTTGGGGCCAGTCCTCTTCTGAGAATTCCTTTAATGTTCTTGGCTGTGTAGGAATTGAAGGCACAGCAGGGATGGTCATCAGGAGGCTCCTAGAGGAATTCAGGCGAGACCGTGGTGGTTACTTCTAATCTGTTGGGCCAGAGAGGATTCATTACCCTGAATGCCATACATTTCCATCTTGGAAATTCTTGTATTATTCTAGATCTCTAGCTCCATTTTTCTCCACGCTTGTATTTCTAGAAATAAATTATAGCCCCCACACCTAGTCATCAGATGGTTGCGCTCTTTTGTGGCCCACTTAATTGCGACTTTTCTGTATGTTATCTTGCAAGGGTGCTCAGAATTCAAGTCATCTGGGAGAAAAGATGTTTGCCATGAATTACAGGGAAGAAGCCCATAGAACACCAAGTTCTAATTTACCAGGGAGCCCTTCTCTAACCCATCCCCACCCGTTGGGTTCTTATTATCATATAGCCTCAAACCCTGTGTGTCCTTCATTTGCAGAACTTAACTGAGATTTGTTATGTCTTGTTTTTGAAATTCTTTTCTGATGACTCTTTCATTAGACTTCCAGCTCCATGAGCTCAGGGACCATCTCTGTCGCCTCTGCCCCAGCACTCGACACAGTGCTCAGAACATGCAGGTGTGCTCGAGGATGGTACACACGAGTGATGAATATTAGAGCCCAGGCTGCTCAGACGTATGTGGCGATGGCGTTTAGAAACCAAGGGAACAGCTCCTACGCACAGCGTGCCTTCCCCCGCGGCCCGAGCACACGTGCTCTATCCAATACGCAATTTCACAGGGACTGGCTCTCTGATCTCAGCTCAAAAGGTGAAAAAACAGACAACGTGACACAAAATTAATTTATAAATCAGTTTATTTACAGATTTTATCTTTTCTTAAAGTACATTTCAGTTAACAAATCTATTTACACAGGTATACATGGGAATTCATCCCACTTATTTTACAGATCATACTTACAAACCACACCCCAAGTCTTCTGTGCAAAGCTGCACTGGATGTGACTATTGGCTGAAAATGGCCTGAAGCCCAGGCTATTTACACGTACACAGTAAACGGGTTTGTTTTTCATGTCTGCACAGTACAGTACACACACGGAGGCCAGGCCTCCCAGAGAATGCTTTGCAATGTGTTTCCCAAGAAGGCTTTGCAAAGTCCGGAAGGAAAAGCTATTAAACATAGGTTAATTAAAATGACAGTACCTCCTTTACATCAGTTTACATTGTTTTCTTCACATTTTATAATACAAAGATATTTTATTGAATTGCTGCACAACCAGTTCAAGATGATTTGTAAACATGTAAATTCCTACAATTTGCATTAAACATCATTGTAGTTTCTATCATTTGCTCTTTGAATTAATGTTTTCTTCACTAGTATTCTTAAGGTAGTAAAAGAAGATGTAAGTTTGAACTTCTTGCAGAAAAGTTATGAGTCTCTAATGCTGTGCGAGGACACACTTTATTCAAGTATTGCAAAAAGCTAAGGCCACTTTTTTTCAAGACAAGAAAGTGAACAAAATTGTTTTTATCAATAGGCCACAACACTCTTATGAGCAATGAAATCTCTTTTGAAAGATAATTTCTCAGAGACCTGTAGTCACAGAAGGAATTTTCTTTTCTTTTGGGTAAAAGAAAAACCAATTACCTTCCTTATTAACTACTTTTGAGCTCTTCCCACTTTTCCCTAGAATAAAAATTCCTGTTTAGACCTGAAGAGGGAATCTATACCCTGTACTTGTAACCCAGAGTTCAGAACCCTGGATAGCACAAATTATTTTGGACTCAGAACTAAATCTGAAGCCTCTATGTTGGTTTACTACTAAATTCTGATAGTGCTATTCTAAAAGATATTACTGCTGATGCAAAGATCTTTTTCTTAGAGGAATTATGAATAAAGAGTGAAAGAGGATGGGAGCATGGGGAGAAGGAACAAAGATTATAAAGAGGGAATATTTAGATTCTTGATTAAGAGGCAGAGCTTGATTAAAAAGATCCCAATATGGAACAAGTGGCTGGGTTATCCGTAGTCACCAATTCTAATGCTAACAATAAACACCTTTCAATTATATCCAATAGTTAAAATAATAAGAAATCTGCTACTTATAGATTCCTCTGTTTTCTCTACCAAATTACGGACAACCATTTCTAACAAGGAGTAAGACGGATTGATTGCTGCCTCTCATCTGGAGCCTGGGATTCTGAAGACAGTGGAGACAGCGGGAGTGCACGAGGGGGGCCAACACATGGTCCCGGCCGCATCCTCACCACAGAACTCCAAGTCCGGAGAGCTGACTCCACACACTTATCTATTTTTTTCCTTTTCTGGAATCATAATGTCATAAAGAGTAAAGATTAACTTTCTTATTAAAAATTGATTTAGGTCCAAATAATGAGAATGTAGAAAAACAACCTATATTCCTATTATATTATTTTCATATTCACTTATAAAAAATTTATAGCAGCTGTAAAGTTTCAGTATCATAAGGACAATGTAATCCTACAAACAGCCAAAGGGTGTAGACAAGATGTTTTTCTGTCTTCCAAATAACACAAACTAAAAAGAAAGGCCTTTGCTTTTCCTTGGCCAACGTGAAAACACTATCTCCACACTACTGGTTAATAACCCCAAGAAACCCTAGCTTCTCTTAGTGGATCTGCTCATATGGCTACAAGACTAGAGCTCAACATCAAAAGCCCAGAAGAAATGCTGGCGATACATCAATCTGCGCATTTCCCGAGACCCAATCACCACATTTCAGTGCTTTCCTTATTTGTCAAGAGCTATCATACCAGTCATTGTGCAAAATGCAAATATTCCAATGATTATTTCGCTAAGTTTCTCATGATGGCAAGATGAAACCAAGGAGGGATGGAAGTGTGCATAGTGAAACATCTGAGACGCAAAGGCAGGTTGGGAGGAAAGATGCAGAAATGAACGAACGTGCGCACTTAAAGATTATACCATCTTTGGGGTTTTTCTAACATATTTTGAAGCTACTAACATTCCGGGATATTTGTAAATATGAATCCAGTGGATGTCTTATATCATGCTTCTAATCAGGACCTTCAATATTAAGGCATTTACATTCACGCCTAAGATTATCCACATTCTTCTGGATTACTTGAAGAAGGACAGGACTGATTAAGAGAAACCAGTCAAGAAGGCAGGGTACTGAGGTCCTGGAGAGCATCACGTATGCTCTAATGTAGCAGCTGGCGTCTATATATATATTTTTTTCAGGTACAGGTAATAGTTGTGAGAAGCAATGCTGCAAGAGAGGCAGAACTGAATTTTACAGTGTCTTTAATCATCTTATTCCATTCCTGCTATTGCAGGTGATCTTGTAAAAGCTCATCTTCTTTTCATTGAATTAAACTGCCTTCTTCGATATGTGTATGGGTTTCTTAAAACCGTAGATTTCCTGTGCAAAGACTATGAACCACAGAAACTTCAAGACAGAGGTTTAACTATTACAAGAAGAATCTCTCACTTCTGAATGGGGACACACATTTTCAACTTAATAATTTATCTCAGAATAAATTAAAAAATGTTCCATAGCGCAAAACAAGCACATGAACGATAGACAATATCTTTTTGTCTTTGGTGCACACACTCATTTCCTAAATCATTCAAGTAACAGCGTCTCTGACTTCTTGGGGGAGAGATGGGAGTTGAAAGTTTGAAGGCCAAAATGAATTATTTCCACTTTTGCCATGCCTGGATGCCTGAGATGGTCCTGAGGATCCGTGATTCTAGGAGCAGCTGGTAGAGGTTCAGAAGGAGTAAGAAAAGTGCAGGGAGAGAAGAAGGGGGAGAAGACCCAGCCCTGCATCAGTCCTTTGAGCCCCGTCTTCAGTGGGGGCATTCTTTGTTTTCATGCCCACACAGAGAAAAAACTCAAAATAATGCAAAGGTTTAAAATTCTTTAGATGGTGCTCAGAAAGCAAGGCTACCATGGATTTCTGTGAACTCGACAGTCCACTTGGTGCTGCTCAACTGCAATAATGGAAGAAAATGATCTTCAAAAAGAAATGAAATGAATTCCAGAATGTGAAATAGGCACATGTTATTAGGCTTGCCTATGTAGAAGTGGTTAGGGGTTTAATACTGTTTAGAGACTATAATGTCCATTTATGACTTTCACGGTGTAAGACCAGGATTACATTTCAAAATTGGTAAGATGCAGAATTCTATATACCTCTCCTGCCTGACTTCAGCCTCAACAAAGTAATAGCCTAGTCTAAGCTAAGAGGTCAGTCTGGTGTTTTCAGCCCACAGCTGAGACCCAGTAGGGGTGTTAACAAGAGGTGTAGGATTATACTGTGTGTCAACATCAGGAGTGCAACCCTGCCCACTGAAAATAACCAACTAATCCAGTGGACAGTCTCTAAAGGCAAAGGCTGTCATACCAGATATATCGCACTGTCCCATGAACTCCAAACCAGTAGTCTTTAAGAAAAGGTAACAAGTCCAGAAGCGCTCTTGCTATGATGGAGATGGGGTGTGTATCAGGAGGCAGAAAGGCCCAGGACTCATGTTAGCACTCAGTGTTCGATTTATTTGCAAGATGTCACACAAGTAGCATTCTCCCCTGTTTTTCACTGATCTGATTCAGAACATCAATAGTATCTCTGATCAAGGTCTCAAAGATCCCATCAGCTAGCTGCATCTTCACACACAACTCATCCTCATCATAGTTCACCCACTGTGCCTCCTCTTCGTGGAGCTCCTGGACCTAGAATTTAGAGAACAGAAAGGTTAAAAAGTCACTGTCACATAAAAGCTAGAAAGTTAATTGTACTGCTATTATATATTCATATTAATTATATTCCCATCCATGAGAATACAGCCCAAGGAAGTTAGTCAGAGAAAAAGGTTGTTTATATGATGATATCAATACTCCTTTAAAAGTTTTAAGTTTGAAAAACCTCAACTGCCAAATAAAAGTGCCTTCAAAACTGTCGAAATGGCTTCAAATCTGTCAAAATGGAATTTGACAGTATTCCAGGATTTTATAGATATTAAGAATTACAAGTATGTTTTCTATGACAACATAAGTGAATGTGTATAAGGATTTAAGGGGAAGAGAAGAATGTAAATTATTACATATATGGATTTACACTTATAAAATACATATATCCAAAGAAAATACTGAATGTGATTCTAGAGTATTATAAATAAGTGAAGTTTAATATTATTTTTAAAATATATTATTGCTTAAGTTTATTTTTTTATTTTTTATTTTTTAAATTATTTATTTATTTATGATAGTCAGAGAGAGAGAGAGAGAGAGAGAGAGAGAGAGAGAGAGAGAGAGAGAGAGGCAGAGAGGCAGAGACACAGGCAGAGGGAGAAGCAGGCTCCATGCACCGGGAGCCTGACGTGGGATTCGATCCGGATCTCCGGGATCGCGCCCTGGGCCAAAGGTAGGCGCTCTAAACTGCTGTGGCACCCAGGGATCCCTGCTTAAGTTTATTTTAAAAATCAGTCATGTGGGGTGCCTGGGTGGCTCGGTTGGTTGACTGACTGGCTCTTGATTTTGGCTTGGGTCATGATCTCAGAGTCATGGGATGGAGCCCTGTGTCAGGTTCCACACTCAGCAGGAGGTCTGCTTGGGATTCTCTCTCAACTTCTCCCTCTGTCCCCTTTCTCACTCTAAAATAAATCATTTTGAAAAGTATCAGTTATGTAATACTTGCTTTTTTAAAAAATTGAAGCATAGTTGACACACAATGTTATATTTGTTTCAAGTGTACAACATAATGATTCAACAACTCCATATATTATGCTGTGCTTGCATTTGTCCCCATACAATGTTATTATAATATTAATTACATTTTACAGTTTTGAAATTCCTAAGGTAAACCCAAACTAATCAAATTAGAACTAAATGTCCAAGATTTTTTGCTTGTTTATAACTTTTAAAGACTTCTCATGGGCACTTGGGTGGCTCAGCTGGTTAAGCGGTTGCCTTCAGCTCAGGTCATGATACCAGGGTGCTGGGATCAAGTCCCGCATCAGTCTCTCTGTCCTGCTGGGAGCCTGCTTCTCTCTCTCCCTCTGTCATCCACTCCCCCTCCTTGTGTTTTCTCTCTCTCTCTGTCAAATAAACAAATAAAATCTTAAAAAAAAATACTCAGAAAAGAAACATATGAGACTTAATAGTATGCAATGATACTGTGTGTGGCATGGAGGCCAGGTGGAGAAAGTGGACTGTAACCCCCAATCTAGTGAGGAATTCAGTGAAGTCAACCGCAGTGATGGGGTTCTCTAACCAGAAGTCTTAACTTGGTGAAAAAGTCATGCGACCACAAACGCCTGACTTGCCATGATAACTTCATCTCGAAAAAGGTAGAGGGTGTGAAAACAGGAACTTGTACTCTGGTTCCTGTTATGAGCAAACAAGAAGACTCTCAGGAGAGAGAGACCATATCGCCCTGGAGTTTGAGAGCACATGAAGGAAGAAGAGCCTTTCCCAATCTATGACCTTGGTCAGGGCTAACAAATATATGACACAGTGGCTGTCATGTTCTCTCTCTTTGAGGAGGGTGTTTGAAGGATTTGCAAAATATCCATTTCATCTGTTCCCTAATTTATGATCCATGAACAGATCTGCCACCAAAAAGTCAAATAAGTTTTAGAAAACTCCCTCTGGAGGTTCACATTGTACATTAGCCTATTAAAAAGAAGTCCATCAGTAAAGAAACTTGTTTAATTCAGAGTTTCCTATATTTATTTCAACAAAGCATCATTTTGTATTGATGTGTAAGAAATATTATTCACATACCAAGGAGCTGGTATTCTTCTCATGAACGATGCTGTAAAAACAACAGCCTGAGGCAACACTTCTCAAACCAGTGTTGAGGGAAAAACATATTCTGGGAGAACTAACAGGTGTGCCCCCACAAAAGATTTCCTATCTCCCATGAATTTTGTCCAAACAAAGTTGCACAGCTTTCTTTTTTCTAAGTTTTTCAGCCTTTAATATTAAACCTTTTCTTTGAGCAATTTCCTCCCTGGTGACAAAATTTAGGAGGCACGGTCCTGATGAAATCATCTGTGGCCTTACAGTAGAATATATGCTCAGGACATGTGCTATCTCAGCACAGAGACGATAAGCCCCCACAGCATTCTGTCAGATTTAGCAAAAGCTTTGCTCCTCCTCAGAGTAAGAACCACTTTCCTTTCAGATGGTGATGACCAACATCATGCTTTCCATTTCCCTGTGGCCATCCAAAAGCACAACTTCGAACTTCAACATGGCAACCAAGGGATCTCAGAGCCTGCAGATCTGCCTCCATTTTTTTCCTTCTGGAAAGAGGCTCCCTTTTAGAGCCTCTTCTATTTTATTACACATTTCCCCTCCTCCTACACATGTATTAGGCATATATGGCAAGTTAATATATACTATGTAAGTTAATTAAATTACATTAAAAAGTCAGTCTAATAACTCCATTTTCCTTTACTTTGACAGGGTATAAGGCTGGTGGAAAAGAGAAAGGTGGGAAATAAAATATGGCCAGATTTCAGCAAGCATATGGCAGGGTCTTTCGCTATATCCTTGTGAATAAGATGAGGAAACAGAAACAGGTCAATTAAATGGATTTGTGCCTTTTTGATTAAAGGACAAAACAACTACCAACCTGCAAGGATGTTTCCACCTGAACAACTCAGGAGCTTTTTCCTCTGTGCCCTCATCTATCTTGCTCATATTTCATTATTTGGCGAAATTGTACTCTATGTATCTGTTCTCCTACTAGGCTATGAGCTCCTCAAGATTTTTCATTTTTAATTTTCCAGTGACAAGGACAGTGCAAATAGAATGTTAAATAAATATCTGGCATGTGGGTTTTTTAGTGAGTGCTAAAAGGCTGTCTTTGGATTGTGTCCAGTTCATCATTTTTGGTAATGGTGTGGATGAATTTTAGAGGTAACATGAGGTCGAAAAACAGAACTACATTGGAAGAATGTACTTGAAAATGTATTGGTAGCTTGGAACAAAGGGCCAAATTCAATAAGATGATGGAATAAGAGAATAAAATCCTGTATTTGGGCCCCCAGAATAACTAGAAAGGCATAGGTTGAGCCTTTGGTTTTGGGGTTTTCCTAAGTTTTTGTGAGTCTCATGTGAATGATGTTAAAAATAAATGTGATTATAAACTGGATTAATAGAAAAAGGAGATTATATGACTGTACTAATTAATCAATACACAAAATATTATATGGCTAATTGCGAGTATGGTGTCTAAAGAGGGAAACTGAAAAAGAGGTAAAGCTGAAAATGTTAAAGGAACTTAAAAACACTATCAGACAAGGGGAGAGGATACCCACATTTAACAGGGAGGGACTCAGGTACAACATGACAGCTGTCTCAAAGGCATGCAGGAAGAATGAAAATTGTCATATAAAACCCAAAAGTGAGTGAAGTCAATTATAATTCATTATATGAAAAACTTTTCAGGCTTACTAGGAGAAAGCACTCATCAACAGTAAGTAGAAACTCAGGAGCTATCTAGCTAGTATTTCATCAGATTTTAAGCAGTGAAGGAGATTCAATCATTAGCTAGGGGCTTTCACTACAGGATTTGTCATTTTAAGTGCAATTCTACCTACAGTAGAGAGATTCTCCAAGCCTACTGTGTATAAAGGACATACAAAAGTTGGTCTAATTTGTCATTCATTCCACATCACATCTACTTTGAGAATGCATTGCTAAAAATAGCTCATCATATTTCTAGCTCACCTAAGATACAAATTCACCAATGTCCTTATGAAGTGGTAAAGGGACAGTGAATGCGAACTGCAGCTGAAAGAAATATTTCTTTTTTTGGCTAATGGAGGCCTTTCTGCCTAAAAAAACATTCTTTGTGTTTTACTCACCTCAAATAATGCCACAGTCAGATGTACAGTTAGACTGATTAGGGACCTTCCTGGTCTGAGCAATGACAGCTAAATTATACACTTTCTTTCTTTTTTTAAGTAGACTCCACACCCAATGCGGAGCCCAATGCAGGGCTTGAACTCACGACCCTGAGATCAAGACCTGAGCTAAGATCAGTCAGATGTTTAACCGACTGAGCCACTCAGGTGCCCCTAAATTACACATTTTTGTATGGAGGAAGCAACTGTTTATTATGAAATGTTTAATACAATAGTTTCTCAAATTATAAGCGCTAAGGTTCCATTTGAGGGCACCTCTCCACAGTGTGGATGCCGCCTGTGCCACCGCAGGGACCCTGCTCCTACAGCCCCTCCTTGCTCCTCTGCATCATCACATTTTCTCTAGTGAACTTTTCCTCTCAGCATTATTTCTTTCAAGTTACAAGAACCCTCTCTTGTCACCATGCCCCTCTCCATCTTTCACTTTACTAGAAAAACTCCTTTGAAATGTCCACTTTTGCTCTCACTAATCTTTTATTCTCTTTTGAAACTTACTGAAATCCAGTGCTGACCTCAGGCATGCCACCCGGATTATTTATATTAATGTAAGATAGTAAAGACCTCCACATTGCTAAATCCCATGGTAAATCCTCAGTTCTTATTTTACGTGACCAGTTAGCTGTATTCCATGCAGTTGATTCCTCCCTCCTCCTGGAAACACTTTCACCTGGCTTCCAGGACCCCATACTCTCTTGGGTTTCTCCTACTTCTTTGGCTGCTCCTTTCTAGTCTCCTTTGTTGGTTCTTCCTCATCTTCTGAATGCTTGAAACATTGGAGTGTGTCCGGAATCAGTT